CTGAGACTGAAGGACAGGGAGAGGCCTGTTCTAGCTGCATGGCCCATGGCAATAAACAACTCCCCTCTCGTGCCCATACGGCCCAGTGAGCCTATCAGCCACCCACCGCATCCATACTCACTGGCCACCGTCGGGCAGGTCCAGCCCCATGATTCGGTCGTGAGGCTGCAGAAGGGCTGTGTAGGCAGCCAGATTGGCTGGGGACCCCGAATAAGGCTGGACATTGACTCCCCACTGTGCAGGATCCAGGTCAAAAGCCTCCAAGGCCCGGCGCTGACACAGCAGCTCGATTTCATCCACTACCTCTGCTCCCCCATAATATCTGCCACGGGAGGGGGCATATCAGGGCACAGAGAAAGGGTCCCACCACCCCCCTTGAAGTAGCAAAGGAGCGGGAAGGCTACTCCTCTAAAGGCACTGGGAGGGTGCAGGCCGGCGTCCCCACCGGGAGCACCGTCCCTGAGGCTGCCCTCCAGCCCGCTGGTGCCTCGCCCTCACCTCTTGCCAGGATAACCCTCCGAGTACTTGTTGTTCAGACAGGACCCCAGGGCCTCCAGCGCAGCTCGGCTGCAGAAGTTCTGGGGTGAGGGGTGGGGGCAATGTCAGAAGGTACAGAGCCCCTTCTGAGAGACTCCCACAGCCCACCCTGCCCGAGCCCAGGCTGCAAGGAGCTGAGCTCTACAGAAAGCTGTTCATTCAAGGTTCCTTGTCAGGCTTGGGGCATGGCCAAAGGCAGCATCCTCAGAAACCAAGCTGCCATGACAGGTGTCCCCGGGAAGCCCACCTGTCCACTGGTACCTGTGCTTCCAGGTTTCTCTTTTCTCTTGGGAGGGGGAAGGGACCAGACTTGACTGTAGGGGCCCGGAAGGCTCTGGAAGCTCTCTAATGCCCCCATCCCATAACCCAGACTGGTTCTGCCTTGCTTCAGAGGACAGTAAGAAGAGAGAGAGAGAAGGCCCAGCAGGAAGGCCCTGAGTCTGAAAGGGAGATCTGGAGAAAGAGCAGTAAGATGACCTGTTACTTCCTGTACCCATGGCGGCCCAAGCCTTGGCCCCTCTCCCCAGGCCCCACCTCTGAGGCAATGAGTTCCAGGCCACGACACTGCCTGTCCTTCTCCCTCTGCAGCAGCTCCCACATCTCAGGGTCACTGTCTGACAGACTCTCCTGGCCTGTCCAGCCCCTGGTGGCTTCTCCAGTCTGGGTCTGGGCTGCTTCACTGTGCTGGCACCGCGCGGCCATCCTGACCAGCGGACCATATCTCCGCAGAGGCTAGGGGAGGAAAAGCCAGGGTCAAACAAAAGGGTTCAAACAGTCTCCCAACAACCATCAGCCATGCGTATCAGGCCCTCTGGCTCCAAAGCCAACAGCCAGCTGTCCAGCCTGCCTGTTCCGGTTTTCGCCACCCCCACCTCCAAAAGCCAGTTCTAGAGCCAAGGCTGAGATCAATGTCCAGGGGGTGGTTCTGAATCCATCCATTCACCTCCCCTCAGAATCTTCCTCCACCTGGGCCCCTGAACTACTCTGCAAAGCCAGAGGACAAAGTTTGTGTTCTAGAAGCTAGAGGTTCCAGAACCTCTCCACTCACTGGAACAAACGGGTCTTCCCTGTAGGGGCTCCATAAACGGATATCCCAGTCAGGGGGAGGAGACCAAGTTGCAGGGATTAAGAGAACAGGCTTACCATAGTTAGAGGTGGCTTTCAGAACATTGGAGGTAGCCATTCAATGTTCTGAAAACCAGGGTAGATTTTTAGCAGTCCCAGGGGGAGAATGGTAGGGGTGGGTGTGGGGGTGGGGAGCTGATGGCAGGGAAGCCAAAAACCACACCCAGTCCTCTGCCCTGCTCCTTTCCACCTCCTTCCAGCCCTTCCAGCCCACAGAGCCGCGGGATCCCTGATGCAAGCAGTAGGGCTCGGTTGCATCATCTGCACGGCTCAGAGCTAGCAGGGAAGACAGCTCGCTTGTCCAGGCTGGGAATCCCGCTGTTCGCCAGCACAGGAGGCGCGGGCAACCGTTACACTTCCCTCCCCAGCTGCCACGTAAAATGGATGGTCACATGGCCCTGGGGCTTCTGATTACCGGAATGGAGAGGGGTCCCGTTTACCCCGCGTGCACCCGAGGGTCTCGGGGATTCCCTAGTTGCGCGTCCGCTCCCGGAAGACCCAGACCATGTGCGTGGAAAAGCCCATAGTTTGTGAATGGATATTACGGTAGGAGGGGAACTTGCTTTCAACTGGTCACCCAGACTCCGGGGCCCCATTCTTACCCGAGTGGCCCAGAGCAAAGAGAAAGACAGCATCGCAACCCGAAGTCGCAGGAGGTCAAGCCACCAACTCTAGCTTGGAGAAGCAACGGGTCCGAAAAGACTGATCCGAGAGCGCATGCGTGAGAACAGCGGCCCTAGAAGCCACAGGATTAAGGGTAGATCCTACGCATGCGTGAGGCGACTCCTTTATGGTCTTCTGGGAATTGTAGTTTCCCCACCTTTCTTCCGCTTCCTTTCCCCAGGGTCTGTAGCCCCAGGGTCAGAGACTCCAGTCTGAAAGAAAAGAGACCTACTGCCGCCCCTTCTCACTGTCCTGGATATCTTCAGGTGTTCCCTCCCCCCCACCCCCCCCCCCCCGTCGTCCAGACATCAACCATTTATTGGATGCCTACTGAATACCTAGTATTATTAGGCTCCCTGGGAAATACAAAGACTCCTATACAAGCTGGAGTGCCATGGTGCACTGGAAGTCACCTGGTTTGGAGGGGTGGTGAGAGGCGAATTCAAGTTCCAGCTCTGGGACTAACTAGCAAATTAGCCTATCTGGCCTCAGTTTCCTCACCTGTAAATCAGTAATAAAATAACATTCGGTGGGGATTAAATGAGACTTTGTATGTACACATGCTCTGGAATGGATTGTGCTCCCTTCCTCCTCTGACTTACTAACCTGCCTCCTCCTTGGCCATCTCCTCCTTCTCCTGGGACATCCTGGAGCTGAGTGAGATGCCCCTTCTTGTCCTTGTACTTGTTGGATTTTGTTAACTGTTCACCTCTTGCCTTCCAGGCAGTCAGCGAGCTCTCTTTGTTTCCCTGGGGCTATAGATACTTGGAACAGGAAGGGATCTTCCTTTTAGCCTGAGTTCCTCTGACCTCATCCTTTGGGGGAGGGACTCATTGACCTTTCCAGGAGTAGGTTCCCAAACCTGGGCATCAGGATTAGCTGGGAAATCTGATATAAATATGAGTGTGGAGCCTTTCCTCAGAGGTTCGAATTCAATGGATCTTAAAGAATAGTGGACATTTGCCCACTCACGCTGACACACAATGAAACCTCGCCTCATGATTCTAATAAGCAGTGATTTTTGAGAACCATTGCCTCACATAGCAATATTGTGAAACCTCGCCTCATGATTCTAATAAGCAGTGATTTTGAGAACCATTGCCTCACATAGCAATATTACACATTCATTCATTCATTCATTCATTCAACATACATATTGAGCTTCTACTCTGTGCCAGGCATGCCATAGCCCTGGAGATATAAGAATAGATTACTGACTGCTGGGACATCAAGAAGTGAAAAAAATGCAACAAGTGCAATTCCAGACAGGGGTACCTCACTCTGCTCCCACAAGTCCAGATGTCTGAAGAAAAGAGTGGGAGGAGGAGGAGGAGAGGATGACCTTGTCGGAGAGGGGAGGACAATCCATCACAAAGCAAGTTCGTATGCAAAATCACATACTATTTTATTATTGCTTTACAAACGAGGAACTAAGGCCCAGATGGGTTAACTTGCTAATTCCAACCATTCTCACTAGATTCTCATACCAGGCCTCAGAAGGCCTCCCCCTCCACCCCGCCCTTAGCTCTATCTCATTCCCTCCCACTCCTGCTCCAAGTGTTCTCAGGTCTTTCCAGCAATAGGCCTGTGTTAGGAGTCCACTGAGTGCTTCTCCTTCCTCCCATCTCTGACCCAGAACCACTCCCCACCTCTCTCTTCCTTTCCACATCTACCCATCCGTTCACCCATCCCTCCGATATTTCTTTTCCCCTTACCGACTTTTCCGTCCCAGGACTGTCTGGGTCAAACGCGCCTTTGACTCAGTTTCCCGCTGGAGCCAGTGGGCAATCCCCTGGAGAACGCTGGACCCAGGACTAAAGGCAAAGGAAGGCTGAAGAGGAGGCGCTGTTCTGTGCCACAGCTTGTCTGTACCCCCTCCTAGCCCCCTTCTGGGGTCCCCAGGGGAGGGGGTGACGGCTGAGCTTGAGAACTGCTAATGAAGCCGCAGCCAATTAACGCCCAGGCCAGGGTAGGGGGCGGATAAAATTAGCAGCCGCGGCTGCAAGTGGGAGCTGAAGGTGGAGCTGGAGGCGGGGGTGGAGAAGGTGGGCAGCTGGCTGAAGGGGCCTTGTTTGCTAGCGGCTGGCAGTGGCAGCGAAGCCCCACTCTCCGAACTCTCTTGTCCCTTCCCCCACCCCCTCGTCGCAGGCTTCACTCCCTCTCTCCCTCATCCGTCTGCAAACTCAGCGCCCACGAAATTAGGAAGGAAAAGGAAGATCGATGACTCCAGATGCCGCAAACACCGTTCCCCTTCCCCCCACCGGCCGCCTCCCGCCAGCCCCACGGAGCTTAGCAGGTTGTCAGCGCTCTGCTTACGAAGTCCCAGCATCTCCTTGAATGGGAATTCAAGGCTCTTATACCTCCCCCTTCAAATCGTCCCAAATAGCCCGCCAGGAGTCCCCTCTCAGGTTCAGTCCTCATCCTAGCTGCTGCCGTTTCGCTCTGCCCCCCTCTGGGAGGAAAATCCCCACCTCTGGCAGGGCTCCTACACCAGGGGTCGTCCTCATCGCTATGTGATCTGGTTTTGGATGACCCCCAAGGTGCCCGCTCCACCAATATTTGCCTCAGTTCCCCACGAGCCACGGGGTGGAGGGCGAGGGGACCTGGCCCGGTGTCTGCCACACATTAAAATCCACACACACCCCTTCCCTACAAAGGTCTCACGGAAACTCGTGTTGGACTTCACTTTATTGTGTTCCCTTTATTTTGTTTTGGAGTAGAAAAAATATCACTGAGAGGAAGCAGCCGGGAGGGGGCGGGTGGAGCAGGACTGCAGGGACGGGAGGGGCAGGCAGAGGGCAGGGGCCGGAGTCATCGCCGAGGCCCAGGCGTCTGCTTCCACTCCCCTAATTGGGGGCGTTGGGGAAAGAGGAACCGGCGTGGGGCAGGCAGGAGGGGGCGGGGCGCGGCTTACACACGTACATCTTCACAGTCTTTTACACGGGGACGGGGTGGAGCAGAACAACAAGAGCCTGGGGGTAAGAAGGTCAGGGTGGGATGAGGGGACCAGGCCGGGCGCTATTACAGCTGAGGGCAGAGGGAGTGTGAGCCCAGCGCCGGGGCGTGAAGGGGACCCAGTGTGGGCATAGGGGGCGCTGGGGCCGCCTTTCCTGGGGCTGCGCTCTTGTTCCTTCACTTTGGGGTGCAGCTGAGGGGGCCTCAAAGGCACTCCCCATCAGGAAAAGGGGACCCACGCCAGCTGAGCGTCCCCAGGAGGGCTGTTCCTCTCGCCCCCCAGAATGGAAGGGTGCACGGGGCCACAGGAGTTGCGGGTCACGGGGAGGAGTCTCACTTAGGGAGGCTGGGACCTGGCGGGAAGCTCAGGGCTGGGGCGGGGGTCGGGGCGCACTATCCAAAGTAGGGGTGCTCGCTCTGGAAGTTGTAGTCTGGGCACACCTTCTGCACCAGTTTATAGTCAAAGCTGAGGAAGGAGACGAAGATGCAGATGACTTTGAAGGGCTTGGCGCAGAGCCAGGCGGCCTGACTCTGCGTGTGCTCCGTGAAGCACACCTGCGACGGGTCGTACAGGCACGGGCGGTGCTTGCGCGCGCGGTTCGTCTTCTCGTACTCCACGTGGCAATTGAAAGCGCGCGACTCCTTGGCCCCGGGCACGCCCAGCGCTCCCCCGAGTGGGCCCGCCAGAGCGCCCCCGAGGCTGCCTCCGAGCCCCGCCCCAGCAGCAGCTAACCCCAAAGGGGGCCCCAGCCCGGGGAGGACCCCCTCCAAGGCCAGCGTCGACTGCAGAGGGTGGGGGGCGGGGCCGGGCAGCCAGACGCCCCCGAACTCCACGCGCTTGGACGGCGGCACGATGCTGACGCTGAGGTTGCCCAGGCTGGAGGAATTGTGGCGGAAGTACACGCTGAAGGTCCCGTTCACGTGGTCGACGATCTTGCCCGTCACCAGCAGCGAGAACTTGAGGGTGTGCACTCGGAAGTAGAAGTCCCCCCAGCCGAAGATCTTCTTGGCGCGGGCCGCTTTGATAGACGGCTTCCTCTTGGTGCGCTGCACGGGCAGCGCCCCCACCGCCCCGACCCGGGCCAGGGCCCCGGTGTGGTTAGCGGGCCAGGCCCAGCTCCAGGCGCGGGCGGTGCCCAGGCCGTCGGAAGACTTCGGCGCCTGGAGCTGTTGCACAGGGGCGCCCCCTCCGGCCGCTGCGGGGCGCAGCTCCATGTACTGCGGCCTCCTGGACTCCGGTATCTGGGCACTGACGGTCTGTGGACAAAAAAAGAGGAAGAAAAAGAGATGCTGGAGCCCTAGCCGGTTTTGCTCAGTGGATAGAGCGTCGGGCTGTGGACTGAAAAGTCCCGGGTTCCATTCCGGTCAAGGGCTCATGCCTGAGTTGCAGGCTCAATCCCCAGTAGGGGGCGTGCAGGAGGCAGCTGATCAATGATCCTCTCTCATCATTGATGTTTCCATCTCTCTCTCCCTCTCCCTTCCTCTCTGAAATCAATAAAAATATGTTTAAAAAAAATAAGAGACGCTGGAGTTGTCCCTGGCCACCTTACCCATGGCCACCCAACCGGGGCCTTCACCATGCCAGCAAGGCCACTAGGAGGCCAAATGGAATCCAGCAGCCGGCAGCCAGTGGGTCAGGGAGTGTGTGTTGGAGTGGGTCTGCAGCCCTTTCAAGCTGTGTGGCTTGGCCAAATCACTTCACCTAGGTAGGCCTCAGTTTCTACATCTGAGATGATACTGAGAATCCTCATGTTCTTCCAGATCTCCGATGCGGCTGAAAAAGCCCAAGCCAGTGTGGGTTTGAATATGGGGACAGGGACTCCGTCTCCTCCAGCCGGGAGCCTGGTTGGTTCAGAGCAGCGATTTTCAACCTTTTTCATCTCATGGCACCCATAAACTAATTCCTAAAATTCCCCAGCACACCAAAAATTATACTTTTTGGCCAATCTGACCAAAAAAAGGTATATTTTTTATTCATCCATACCAGACAGCCATTGTTGGCCATTGTCATTTTTTAACTTGACAATCTAAGGCAGCGGTTCTCAACCTGTGGGTCGCGACCCCTTTGGCGGTCGAACGACCCTTTCACAGGGGTCGCCTAAGACCATCCTGCATATCAGATATTTACATGACGATTCATAACAGTAGCAACATTACAGTTATGAAGTAGCAACGAACATAATTTTGTGGTTGGGTCACAACATGAGGAACTGTATTTAAAGGGCCAGAAGGTTGAGAACCACTGGGGAAAAGAGGAGGTCAAAGCCCCTGACTAAATAGTCAAGTATTGCATGTTTTAAAAATTCTTGCGTGCACCAGAGTGCAATGGCACATCGGTTGAAAATTGCTGGTTCTGAGTAATGAGCCAGGGAGGAGTCGGACTCAGGCAAGTGAGGCCATGACCATTGTCAACATCCAGCATCAGGAAAGAGGTGAAGACCTCCAGATGCCTCTGTGGCGACTAGAGCCCCCACCCCGGCCTCATCCTCTGCTCCCTTGTGGGGAGGAGCTTGGGAAACCAGTAGAGCTAGGGAGAGCAATGGGGAGTCAGTAAGGCTTGTGGGCTACTGGGGTACGTCTCCCCGCCTCCAGCGCTCCTGCTCAGTGGAGGAGGCCGCCTGGTGGTGCTTCCCGGGGACTCGGATGGATCGGCAGGAGGAGCCGCCCTGGCCCGCCCCCACCCGTCTTCTTGTGTCTCAGGTGGCAGCGATCTGGGAGACAGCGAGGGCTCGAGTACAAGATAGATCGAGAGGCGGGAGCGGTGGGGCCAGGCCTGGGCCATCAATTATCTGGTGGGGGGGGGGCAGGGGTGGCCGGGAGCGAAGGAGACAGTCGGTCAGAGCGAGAGGAAGAAATATGGAGATGCCGCTCCAGCCAGGGGAGTGGGAGGGAGAGGAGCTGTACATGTCAGAGTGTGTCAGTCAGACTGTGCTAGCTGTGGCTGTTAGGGTGGCCCTTACTGCGTGTGTGTTCAGATTGGGGAGGGAGTACTGCATGTGTCAGTCTGGTGTGGTTGTGTTCCTGTTAGCCTAGGATGGTTGTATTGCCTGTCTACCTGGAGTGATGCCTGTGCCTGTGTGTGTGTGTGTGTAGCTATGGTGATGGGTGTGTGTCTGCCTAGGGTGGCTGTGCATGGTGGTTATGTGTGTGCCCTGGTGACTGTATGTGTGTGTGTATGTGTGTCTGCCTGCTTGTGGTGGCTGAATGTTTGTTATGTCAGCGTGTGGCAGCTATGTATGTGTGCCTGGGTGGTATGTGTGCCTGGGTTGCATGTGTACCTGGTTGGCTGTGTGTATTAATCTGAACGAGGCTGAGGCTGTGTATCACTTTGTGGTACGTGCATCTGTGTGACCTGGGCTGGCCATGTGTGCTCTCTGGGTGTGTCACTTGTCCTGTGTGAGTTCCTATCATCCGGTGTCCATGTGTCAAGCTCCTCCTAGAGGGTGTGTGTCAGTGCCTCCACAATGATAAGACAAGTGTGCCCTCCCTGATGGGGGGGGGTGGTGCATGTGTGAGATGTATATTAATGGCCCCTGCTGGCTGAGCTCTGGGTAGGTAAAGAGACCGGACACCATGGTGTCCCCTCTGTTTGTACACACCCATGTGCATACACCAGGTGTCCACAGGGGACAGGAATGGCACAGTCAAGCTGCTGGGCTAGAATCTCCACCGCCTGGTCCCCATCCCCGCAGCGCTGCGATCCTGGGTTATTAATGCGGCTGCCGCCACCCGATCGTCATACATATTTATCGCCCCCCACACTCCTCCTCCCTTCCATACCTCCTCCCAGCTCAGGTGAGGGGTGCGGGGGCCGCAACAGTGATTGACTCAGAAGGAGGCGCTTGAGCTGGCAGCGAACGCCCTGAGGGTGGGCCTGGGCAGGGCTGGGGGAAAGGGGTCCTGGGCCACAGCAGTGGGGGGAAAGGACCTCCCAGGAACTGGGTTTGGAGAGAGCAGGACTGGAGCCCGAAAGGGCACTGGAGGCGGGCCTGTGAAGCGATGAGAGAAGTGGAAGGGTGGGGAGGGGGGCCATTTGAACTCTGACACCTGATCTTCTCACCTCTCTGGGCCCAACCACTATTTTTTTCTGGGGACTTCCATCCGTCCCTGAAGCCTGCTCCCTCAAACTCCCCCCTGCCCCCAGCACACCCCAGCAGCACCCAGGGTCCTGCACCCTGCCCAGGACCTGTGGGGGGCTGGCTCCGTCCAGCAACTCCTCCCCGGTGGGGCTGGGACAGGGTGATAGCTTTGGCTGGGTGTTGGGGGGTGCCGGGTGCCCCCCCCATCCCAGACAAATGGACGTCTGTGCTTCTCTGACCCTGGCAAATCCCTAGGCTTTGGGCACCTGCACCCCACTGGCCATAGGAGACAGCCAAGATAAAAGGGAAGAGTTGAGGGGGGGGCTTGGGCAGGGAGGAGCCAGGGTCTGTGAGGAAGCGAGCCGAGAAATGGGAACATGGAACAAAATAAAATAAAATCCTCCCTCTGGCTTCCTTGCTCGCCTGCTCCCGCTCCCTGTCTCGCTCTCCCTCTTTCACTGTTTTTCCATCTCCCCCCCCACCGACTCTCAGTCTCTTTTTCTGTCTCTCAGTCTCTTCCTCACTGTTTCTAATTTTCCTTTTATGATTCTTTTTTTCTCCCTGTTTATGTCTCTGTGGTCCTTTCCCCTCTATCCTCCAGGTTGTCTGTCTCCAGCTGTGGGTGGGAGTGGGGGTGAGGGGAAGCAGGGTGACACGGAGCCCCTCTTTGTCCAGAACCCATGGTGCTGTCCTCCCTCTTCGAGGACGAAGATGAGAGCAGGGTATTGTCCGAGCAGGGTCCCCCTCAGTCCAGCGCTGGTTTAATTAAGCTAATTAAACGCGGTGACATTTGCGGAGGGGAGAGGCTGGCCGGGCTGCCGGGTGGGGACGGAGGGGGTGCGCAGAGGTGTTTGGTGGCAGACAGGGATGTGGGGGTGGGTGGGGGTGCGCGTCACCAGGTGCCTCCAGGCCCATGCAGGGTGGGAGCCGAGCCAGGAGCGCTCTGTCCCCAGGCAGCGAGCCCACGCACGGGAGGGGAGTTGAGGCTGCCTCTTGCTGCTTAACAAACTCCATGGGGGGGGGGGTTGTGCTGTTTTGGGTGGGAACACTGGGAATAGGGGGAGGATGAGACGGTTGGCCCCCAGCCGCATTGCAGGGTGCGCCTCCCTGGGGCCTCCCGCCTGGTCGGTTGCTTCTCCTGCTTCGTGGGTCAGGCAGGGCTGCTTACGATTCCCATGGGGAGGGCTGGCACCCGTGGCTGGGGAAGGAAGCGTGCTCTGGCCTGGGCTGGGGAGGAAGAGGGGAGAGTGTCCTGAGACCTTGCACCTAGAAATAGGCGGGGGCACTGCAGTCAGGGCGGGCGGAGCAGCTGGGAGCTGGCTGGGACCCAGGGAGGGAGGCAGGAGTGAAGACAGAAGTGGGGAGGACAGGACAAGCTGCGAGGGGAGTGGCACAGAAATGGAGGGGCACTGGGAGTGTGGGCCTGGAAGGCCGGGCACTGGGTACAGTGATGAGGAAGAAACAAGAGTTGCTCAGGGGTGAAGATGGGAACAGGGAGGAAGAGATCAGAAATGGTGGGTGGGCATTGGGCAGAGCCGGATGCCAGAGGGCGGGACCAGGGGAATGGGATGGGAACCAAAATAAGGATGGGGGCAGGGATGGTGGATGAGGGATGGGCTTTGGGGAAGGGCAGGAGTGAGAAAGGGACCGGGGGTGTAGGATGGGG